GTCCAGTCCCGTCAGTCCGCTGGGGTATACCCCAGCCATTGTCTGTTTTCATTCTCATTCCTCACTTGCACATTTTGGAGTACGTGCGTTGGAGTCTTGCGTGGAAAGCTGCGTTGTGCCATCTTGCTCCCCCTTCTTCCTCCATCTCCATCTCTATCACTAGCGGAGCACCACACCTGGTGGGTCCGCTACACACACACACATACATACACACACACACACACACACACACAGACCCACACACACTTGCGCACATCCGCCCCTCCGAGTAAGAAAGGATCCAAGCGCGAGAGCAGTCCTTGCATGGGACGAAGTAGAAAGTCAGGGATCATTCGAATAGCATACGAGTCAGTACGACAATGAAGATCACCAACCGGAGATGTGATTGCGCCAACATTGCCTAACAGCCACCGCGGTTTGGGGGTGTTCTTCGAGTTCTCCTCTATCCCACCTGATGCTTTCGGAGCGAGTCATTCACAGGAGTGACTGTCAATATGATTTGTACACTTGGGGAGAGGGGTAGTTAACAGAGATAACTTGATTCAAATGTTTCGAGGATGGGAAAGAGTAGGTCTCCGCATCTCACATCTTTATTGTTGTGCTTCAGGAAATAGTAAGTGCCATTGCACAGTCATAGGGCAATGTTTTCAACGCATAGTGAGTAGGAAGGACATGATGATAGTCAATTCAAGATGGTCGCCGCTGATGGAGGTTACGAGAGCAGTCTGAGAGACCTCTCTCTCTCTCTCTCTCTCTCTCGCACGCGCGCGCGCCCTCTCTCTCGCTCTCTCTCTGTCTCTCTGTCTCTCTCTCCCACCCGCACGCCCTCGGGACCTCCCGCCTGCCCGCGGGCTCGCGGTGTGTTTGTACTTTGTGTCTTTCCCCACGGTGCGCCTAGCTACCATTACGTCTCTCTGGCGGTCTCAATCTCCCCTGTGCGGTGTGCAGACCCTCCTCGTTCGCTTACCATCTCTGCGCCGATGCTCTGTGTGTGTGTGTGTGTGTGTGTGTGTGTGTGTGTGTGTGTGTGTGTAAGTTTTCACTTGTGCGTCCCGGGCTTGGTGCACACTGCGCATACTACCGTAACCTATATGTTGCCGTCTGAAGCTCCCCTTTGTACGCCCTCCTTGTGCGCTTTCCAGCTCTGTCCACTGTCTAGCTGTGTGACCTGTGTCCATTCTCTCTCTCTCTCTCTCTCTCTCTCTCTCTCTCTCTCTCTCTCTCTCTGTGTGTGTGTGCGTGCGTGTGCGTGTGCGTGTGTGTTTGAAATTGTGTCTCCCGGCCATTGTGCCCGTTGTGCCGTTAGTTCGTTACTAATTCTCTGCCGTCTCCAGCTCCCCTTTTTTTTTTGCTTTTTTGTTTTTTTGTTTGGGAAAGCACCCTACTCGTGCGCTTGCCAGCTCTGTCCGCTTACCACTGTCTAGCTGTGTCCGTGCTCTGCCTCTCTCTCTCTCTGTCTCTCTCTCTCTCTCTCTGGGCTCCCCTTTCCGCGTACTCCCCATCCGGTGAAAACTTGGCTCCCACAGCTCTCGTCAGTGGTCACCTCTTTCTACGAGCTCAAGCTTTTTCCATGCTCCCGTAGTCTCCCTCCCCCCCCCTCCCTCATGTGTCGGGGACACTGGCAAATGACATCAGGCTAGCGCCTCATCATTTCCCCGACGCGCTTTGCGATAGATGCAGTAGGGCACTTGTGAGAATATCCATGCTATGGTAGAGTGAAACGAAGGAGTTCTTATGAAAAGGACTGTGCCTGTAAGCTGGGAAGTATCACCCTCCTGCTTTTCGTCGAGGATGTTACGCTGGAGCACATCATTGCCCGAGTCCCGTCTGTGAATATGTCCCCCCCTCTCTCTCTCTCTCTCTCTCTCTCTCTCTCTCTCTCTCTCTCTCTCTCTCAGTGGGCCCTATACACAGTGTCACACACACATACACACACGCCTATGCACAGATACATACGTCCCATAACTTATCTGTCGAATCTCTTGCGCATAAGCTCATCATGACCTAGTTCTTTATTCTAATGCTCACTCACAGGCATAGCTCACCATCGTCGGGGTCCCAACAGCCATATGCTCTCACATTCAAACCTCTGACAAGTACCTCTTCATTCTCATTTTGCACCTCATTCCACAACTCACCACATGCACAAAAGACAAAAAATGATGGCCATGCATCTTTCCACGCAGCCGCGGAAGATTCATTCTCGTTTTGCAGATGTGCTGAGCAGTGGAGCGAGCCCCATAAGGCGTCGCTCCAGTACATAACACTGAACATGCATTTGG